GCCGTTCCCCACCTTTGCTAAGCAACCAGAGATCCAAGTACAGCCAGAGAGTGCCCAGCCGGCCAACTCCCTGCACCTGTGCAAAGACTGGCGCCTAGTGAGAACTCCTGGGGAAGCAGAGAGGTCCAAGGAAAGGGGGGAGGAGGCACCGTCACATATTTATGGGATACATATTTATGCATAAATTTATATATGCACATATAGTTCTTACAGAGAAGGATAAGGACAGGATGAGTATCATTAACTTCTGTGGTTTGCATTTGTGTTTACCACATTGGAACATCCTGCAAGAATGAGAAAGTCTCAGTATGTGGTGGTGCTGCTATTCTTCTCAGAGGACCTGAACTTTCTAGGCTGATGATCAGGACTTTTTCTCCCCTGATTTTAGAAAATCATAAAACCATAAAATGGTTTGGGTTGGAAGAGACCTTAAGGCCATTTAATTCCAACCCCTGCCATGGGCAGGGACACCTCCCACTAGCACAGGTTGCCCCATGCCCCATCCAACCTAGCCTTGAACATTGCCAGGGATAGGGCAGCCACAGCTTCTCCGGGCAACCTGTGCCAGTGTCTCACCACCCTCACAGGAAAGAATTTCCTCCTAATGTCTAATCTAAGCCTACCCTCTTTCAGTTGAAAACCAACCTCCCTTGTCTGATTACTTCTTGCCCTTGTAAAAAGTACCTCTCCAGCTTCTTTGTAGGCCCCCTTTAGGAATTTAAAAACTGTTACAAGGTACCCCTGAGCCTTCTCCAGGCTGAACAAGCCCAACTCTTTCAGCCTGTCTCCATAGGAGAGGTGCTTCAGCCCTCTGAGCATCTTCATGGTCTCCTTATGGACTTGCTCAAGCAAGTGGCTTTTCTGTTGGGGGCCCCTGAGCTGAATGCAATACTCCAGGTGGGGTCTTAACAGAGCAGAGTAGAAGGAGAGAATCACCTCCCTTGACCTGCTGGCCACACTCCTACTGATGCAGCCACACCTACCGTTTGCTTTCTGGCCTGCAAGCACATATTGATGGGTCACAGAATCATAGAATCATAGCACAGTTTGGGTTGGAAGGCACCTACAAAGCTCATCTACTCCAACCCCCCAACAATGAGCAGAGACATCATCTTGATCAGGTTGCCCAGAAACAAATCCAGCTTAGCCTTGAATGTCTCCAGGGATGGCGCATCCACCACCAATCTGGGCAACCTGTGCCATTTAATACCCTCATTTTAAAGAATTTTTCTTCACATCCAGCCTGAATCTCCCCTCTTTTAGTTTAAGACCTTCACCCCTCGTTCTATCGCAAAAGGCCCTACTAAAAAGTCTTTCCCCATCTTCCTTAGAGGCCCCTTTGGTCCTCCCCAGACAGAGAGAGCCCAGACCAGAGACACAGCATGGCAGCAGCTTTGCTCCTTCTCAAACTCCTCCTCTAGGAGTTTGAGGGATGGAAACTGAGTGACTGGGGCTCTCTCTGCTCCTTCTGCTGTCCTGTGCACCAGGAAGGGACAGGGAGAGAGCTGGGGGAGCCCCAGACTGCCTCTTGTCTCTCACCAGGCAGCTCTGCCTGAGAGCTGCCCACAGCAGTGGGGGCACCTTTTCCCAGCTGTGGAGCTCTGTTCCCCATGTGCCTGTACCTGCAGTATCCCCCATCTCACCCAGCAGTGTGTTGTCCCCCCCCACCCCAGGCTCCTGCAGCAGCCAGGAGATGCAGAGAGGAGAACCAGTGTAAGACCCAGTACCCAAGCCCCTGGGCAGAGGTAGGTACCTGTGGGGCAGGACAGAGGTGCTGCCCAAGCCATGCCAAGCAGCTGCTTTTGCACTTCCCTTCTGGGGGCCAAGAGGTGACCAGGAGATGCCAGGCTTGGACACACCCCTTGCCCTCCCTGCAATGGGCTGTGCTGCCAACTCCCTGCCCAGGCTTCGCATGGAGGGCAGAGGCCATTCCCAGGGTGGCATAGGCATGTTTGGAACCAACTTCTCCTGCCCTGCCATGGCACGTGGCACCACAGCTCACCCAGAAGTGGCAACACAGGAGCCAGTGGGCCACATGAGGATAAGGTAGGATCTGTTCTCATCACTGCCTTCCTCCTGCTCCTCTTCTGCTCCACTGCCCCCTTCCCACCACTGAGCACCCACAGATGGTCTAGGGCCTGGCAGAGCTGTGGGCGCATGATGCTGCCATGGCTGCAGAGAGAAGAGGCAGAAGGTGAGCTGGAGGTGGTCTCCTTGGGGTCTCCACAGGCAGAGCCCTGTCCCCCAGCTGCCATTGGGATGCGCATTGGTGTATCCAGCACCCAAGCCCCAGGTGCTGGGGCTGATGCCATGGGTCCCTGCTCTCATCCCAGGTACAGGGCTGGGGGACAGGCAGCTGGGCCCTGAGGGTGGGTCTTACTGCATGTTTAGCGATGACCAGCTCCTCCTGGAGGAGAAGTAAGCACCTCATGCTTCTCTTGCTGCCCCGGGTCAGCTACATATTCGTGCTCAGCACCAGCTCAAGTCAGTGACAGCCTCCCTGCAGAGCCCAGAGCATGAGCAAAGCCACTGCTGTGGGGCCCAACTGTGGCTTGTGCTCCTGAGATGCCTGTGAGGGGAGCCCACCTGGAGTCACAGCAGCGGTTTTCCTGGCCCATCCTGCTGGGACAGGAGGACTCTAACCCTGCATCAAGGATGCAGCCCAGTTGGGCACAGGGAGAATGGCAGCAAGGTGCTGGTGCCAGTGCTGTAGCAGTGCTGCTTGGCCTCCCTCCAGCACTGCTCTGGGCCAGTTACAGCTCTGTCCTGCCAGCACTGGTGACTGTTGGCTCCCAACTGATCAATGCAGAGAGGGTGTGTCCTGGCAAGGCACGGGCCCTGGGGACTCTCTCCACTGTGGCCATGTCTGGCTTCCCCTTGGGAGCCCAGAGCAGAAACAGCAGATGGAAGGACCACCTCCCTTCACCTACGGCCATGCTTTGTCCACTGCAGCCCAGGATGCAGTCAGCTGCCTTCACCCTGAGGGCACTTAGCCAGCTCCAATTGCTCAGCCCCTTTCTCCAGCTGGTCAAGGTGCCTCTGGTTGACAGCATGACCCTCTGGCACATGAACTTCTCCTCCCAGTTGTGTGCTAACTGCAAGCTGTCCAAGGGTACACTCTGCCCCAACATCTGGATCACTGAATGTGAACAATACCTGCAGAGTGCCGCGCAGGGGAAGGTGACATGCACCTGGATGTGATACAGCTTGACAACACAGGTGGTTCAGAAATGGGTTAAAAGGGGTTTTGTTCTTCCTGACCTAACTGGTCCCAACCACATTCTTAATGATAATTTTATCCTTGAATTAGGCAAAATGAACAGCCTGCACTTGCTCAGAAGTTTTTCTAGTGTTAGAGAAAAATGGTATACCACACAGTCCTACAGAACAACAAACAACAAATACCACTCAAAATGCCAGAAGGCCCAGTGATGGGGTTGTCTGGGATCCCTAAGAAAGAAATAGTCTCTGGAGCCAGAACAGGAGCTCTGAAGACTGAAAAGCTCCATCCAGGTGCTGTGTGCTCAAGAAGAAAGCTAAAAATAAAAATGTCTTTAATTGTCTGTGGCTGGGATTCAATTCAGATTTTTATTTACAGGAAAAAATACTTTGAGCACTTTAGTAACTGGTCTGCTCCATCATCTCTGCTGACATTACCTGCAGGATGAACATACACACCACCAAAACACTGCTTTTCTTTTCCCTTATTTGTTGACCACTGACCATCACAGTCTATCACTGAAGTAAATGCTTGTTTTCTCAAGTTCAGATTAAAGGATGCCTAGCAGCAATCTCTTTAGTCTTTCCATTTATGTAGCACATCGACTGGGTAAAACACCTGTTCTTAGACAAAAGACGGTAGCATGATTTCTTGCCCTTTATCAAGAAGCAGTATCCATGAAAATTTGTGAAGACATGACAATCAAATGGATTTTTTCTCTTCATCTCCATGAGCAGAGATGTAAAATGTGCACTGCATTTAAATTTCTAGAGATGCAGGCCTGCCCTCACCTGAAACTGTATATCTACATCTGTTTATATCACCTGAGAATACTGGACACTTGGTTCATCTGACCAATGCTGTCTATATTCATTCATCACTTTCACACTCACATCTCCACTGATTTATTCTTTGGTCACCAAATACCACCTCATTTATGTGTCATTACACACAAGGTCAGGAGAGAGTTTAAACTCCATGACCAGACTTCTTTTAGTTGCTCACACAAGTTCTGAACAGAAATTTAAGTTTGCCAGCCTGTGGTAAGTAAAAATAGCTCAATTTCAGAGTATCAATCCCTTAACTGAACATCACCTAATATGCAGTGTCCTGTTTTAAAGATCCAGTTACAGACTCGGGGAGTGACATTTTGTTTTACAGTGCACAAATGGAAGGCTTGAGTCATACATAAACAAAAGCATAATACTACATAGTAATTTACATTGAAAGGAAACCAGGGAGGTCACTTATTTCCTCTTCACTAGCAGGGAACAAGACGTTTCTTCCGGCGTCTAGGGGGTTTTGAGTGACACTGTGCTAGTAGATACGCTTTTCTTTCACGATTTGTGAAGAAATGCCCCAAGAATCTGCTGTCGAGATCAAAACGGACCATCTTACTAACTCGATAATACAGCTGCTGCTTCTTGTTGTTGGTGTTGTTTCCCTCGGTGCTGAGGCACCGCACACGGCACCCGGTACCGAAGGCCCTACCAGCCGCTCTGGGCAGGCAGCGAAGCCGTGTTTCCACCTAACTTCTTTCTTTGTGTAGCACCGCGCCTTTCCACTACTGCAACGACGACACAAGGCGGCAGAACACGGGCACGGAGCGCTCGCACCCGCCTGCCGCTCACAACATGGCGGCGGCGCCGCCGCTCCAACCGCTCCCCTTTCCCTTGTCACACTTCCCCCACAGATCTCTCTTTTCCCTCTTCCCGCCTTCCCACCCGCTCGCCGGCGCTCCCGACACGCACCACGGCCTCCGTCACTCTCGCCCCCTCTCCCTATTGGTGGGAGGGAGGTGCCACGGCTGCGCCCGCACCGTTTTTCTCGGCTTGTCGGCGCGCTTCGGCGTCGTTGAGATGGCGCTGGAGGTGCGGAGCATGGAAGGCGATGTGGAGGACGGCGAGCTCTGCAACTCGGACTCCGACATGCCTGGCGTCGGCTCCCCCGGGCACCCGCAGCAGGTGAGGAGGGCGAGGTGGCCGGCGGCGTGGCTTCGGTTCCAGGAGGAAGGCCCTACCGGGAGAACGCAGCGAGAGGCCGGACCGGGGCCCCTGATGCCCAGCCGCGCTTGGCGGTGCGGAGCGCCTGCGGAGGAGTTTCCGGCCCTGCGGCTGGGCATCAGGGGCCGTTCTTCAGGACTTACAGGTCGCTCTGGGCTCAGGAACCGGCTTGTGTCCGCAGTGCCTCTCTTGGGAAGCTCGCATGATGCGGGGCGGGTTGGTGGAGTTGTTATTGTTGCTGGCCACTGGGTTTGGTGAGCGGAGGAGAGCGCTCACCGGTACCGCCGGCTGCTGTAAGAACAATAGAATTAACCCGTAGTAGCAAGCACGCCGAGTGCCGGCTGCTGCTTTCCCTGCGCTTCACAACTCTTGCACCTGAGAATAGCTGAGATGTTATTTGTTGCCGAGTGTCTCAGTGTTTTCAGGTTAGAGTGGGTTATGGAGTTCATGAGGAATTCATGGTGGTGTGTGGGCAGGAAGAGATTTCAAAATAAGGTAAAACAGTATGCGACGCTCCGTGTGTAAGAATGTTTATTTTCTGTAGTTATTTTGATTTATTAGCAGTATAGTTCTGGGAGGTGTAATAACACAAATTATTGCAGATATGGGATTTTTGTGTGTTTGTGTTTTGTGTAGAATCATAGAATGGTTAGGGTTGGAATAGACCTCAGGATCATCTAGTTCCACCCCCCTTGGCACGAGCATACCACATACTAGACCACGGTGCCCAAGGCTTTGCCCGACGTGGCCCTGAATGCTGCAATTATCAGTTCTTTGGGCAGCCTGTTCCAGTGCCTCACCACCCTCACAGTAAAAAAATTTCTTCCTTATATCTAACCTGTTTAAGTCTGAGCCCATTGCGGGCCCCCTTCAAACACTGGAAGGCTGCTATGAGGTCTCCACAAAGCCTTCTCCAGGCTGAACAGCCCCAACTTTCTCAGCCTGTCTTCTTACAGAATAAATTTTAAATTAACGGTTTGTAGTTCATAACATGATAAAATTAGTTGAAGGCCTGTGTTTTTTGTTTGCTAATAGGAGGATGAAGAAATGGTGCTATAATGGTGGTGAAGGCAGTAAGGTTAAATAAAGTTGGGTTTTGTTTGGTGTTTTTTTTTTAATTTCAGCTGAGATTAAAGGAAGAGAGGCCATTTCTAAAAATCATGTGTTGTGGTTTAAGGGAAAAGGGAAAAGAAAACAATGACCACAAGTGATGTACAGTGCGATTGCTTGCCACATGCCGACCAATAACCAGTACGACCAGAGCAGCGATCTGGGTTTTCTAGGTGACTCCCCCAGGTTTATATACTGGGCATGATGTGTTGTGGTACAGAATACCCCTTTGGCTAGTCTGGCTCCGGTGTCCTGCCTGTGCTTCTTTCTGGCTTCTTGTGCTGCTCCTGACTGGCAGAGCATGAGACTGAAAAGCCTTTGATTGGAATAACCATTACTGAGCAACAACTAAAAACATCAGTGTGTTACTAGCACTGTCCTCGGGCTAAAGTCGAAAACGCAGCTCTGCACCCTACTAAGAAGGAGAAAAATAACTGTTAGAGCTGAACCCAGGACATCAGGGGATAGCACCTAACTTTAAGATAGGAAGCCAGCTGGGAAAAAAAATGGGATTATGAGTAATGAAAATTCTTACTGCGGATTAGCACAGACAGCGTGGCTGAAAGTTTCCAGCAATTGGGAATAAGAATTCTGGGTTATGTTACCTGTGGTGCTTTTGAAGGTTATGCAGATTTGAGGAGGCTTGTCTTTAATGTTTATTTGTCAGGTGTATATGGAAACAACATTTTGTGAGTATTTTTATAGCAATGGGACTCTTTTTTTGTGAAGTATGTTGAAACTTTAAGGGGTTTGTCCTAATCAGTTTAGAAGCCATAGTGAGTCTGTGCTTTGTTGGCTTAAAGGAAGCAAACCTCAATTTGTAAAGTACTAGTGTCCCCAGCTGATGATGTGCTGTCCTGGTTGAACCAGAATCGCAATGCACTGTTAGCTTCTCAAAGTCTGAGCAGCATCCAAGTTTTGTGGGTTTGTTTTTGGTTTCTTTTGATCATTTTTTTCTTCTTGTTTGAATCTCTGGGAAGACTGTTGTTGCAAGTGTCGGGGTCCAACTGGAGAAAACCCCAGTGTCGGGCCCTGTTTCAGCTTGTGATCCCAAGAGTGAAATTAAGACAAACTAGGTCAAATACCTTTATTGTTCAGTTGGTGTATTACAAAAAGACAGCTATTAATGAAGGGGATACCGATAGGACAGACTGGAAAAAGGATGGAAATGAAGCAAGGATTCTGGGTGCAGTGAGAGAGTGGATCCAGTGGTGTCCCAGGGATCTGTCATCACTGGTGGTGGGAGCCCTTCAGGGATGGTAGCTGATATCAGAGCGGTGTCCCCCAAGAGTCTGCAGTAGTCATCGAAGGTGGGTGGCCCTGTGAAGGCAACCTTCTGGAGTCATCCTTTTGAAGGTACGCAGAGTGGAGTGTGTCTCATGGAGTTGCCCTCACAGCGATGTCTCATGGAGGGTGCCCCTCAGGGTCCATAGTAGTCATCAGTGGACAGATTACTTTTTCTCCCCCTTTTCTAATGATCTGGGGGGCATGCCTGTGTTCTTCATGTCATGTCTTGCATGTTCCTGGTGGACCATTTTCCCTGATCTTGCAGTCAGCTCTTCAGCTGCAGGGGTCTGCAGCAATTCTTGGAATAATGGGCAGCAATGTCACACACCAATCCCCGAGGTAATGGATTCAAGAGTCTTCCCTCAGCTCTTTCCCACTCATCCCTCGGGCAATGGATATTGGAATCTTAACTCCTCCCACCTATCTCTGAGACAAAAGATAGGTTGAATCCCATCTCAGTTTCTCATACCGATCTTTTAAGATAGTGGACAGTGGAGTCTGATTTCAGATCAGTCTCTCATAGCAGATCACTAATTTTGACCTCTTTCAAACTGAAAAAAGTTTCTTTGCAGATAAAAAAATAAACCAAAACACCGTGGTAAATTGCTGTGGTGGTTTGGTTTTTACATTTTGAAAGTGCTGTGCGTGTTGTATCTTTGTCCAATTTGGGAATTTTAGTAGTTTTTCCAGTCTCATAATAATTTTAATTTCAGTCAACAAAGATGACGTAAAGTGACTCCTATGAGATCAGTGAGCTAGTCAAATCTTTGGTGTGATTTGACAGCTGTTTTAATCTACAAGAGTAATTGAGTTAATGGGCATTTACTTTTTCATTTCAGAATTCACTTGATGGCAATGATTTGGGCAAACCATTCCAGAGCAGCATTTCATCATGTGCACCAAGTGTTCCTTACCGAACAACCACAAGTGTAGATTCAAGTGATGAAAGCTTTTCTGAATCTGATGATGACAGCTGTCTGTGGAAACGAAAACGACAAAAGTGTTTCAACTTCCCTCCTGCTAAATCTCAGCCTTTTCAGTTTAGCCAGAGCCACCAAAAACAAACTGCTGTAGGTGGCAAGAAGGTCAACAACATTTGGGGTATGGTGCTCCAGGAGCAGAGTCAGGATGCAGTGGCTAATGAGCTTGGAATTCTAGGCATGGATGGTAGTATTGACAGAAGCAGGCAGTCTGAGACTTACAATTATTTACTGGCTAAAAAGCTGATGAAGGAAGCTAAGCAAAAGGAGGCAGAGACTTTAGATAAAGAACTGGATGAATACATGCACGATGATAAGAAAACATTGCCAGCAGAAGAAGAAAATGGACACGGCTCTGTTAGACGGAAGCGAACTCTGAAAGATAGACTAGGTGAAAGACAAGAAATGAAATATAAAGGAAGGTATGAGATAACAGAAGAAGATTCAGAGGAAAAAGTGGCAGATGAAATCGCTTATCGGTGAGTTTAGTAGCAGTATATCTTCACTTCTGTAGGTATTGGTAAACTGTTGATGGAAAAGAAGAGGGGGAAGAACTTTCTTGCTTTTAAATATGTAAGATGGCATTCAACATTACAACAGCATGAGTGCCTTGTGTGTATTTCCAAAATCCTACGATTAAAATACAGCATTATGGCTAGCTTCTTGTAGAAGCATCCAGTAATACTGTCTATTTTTTTCCCTTTTTTTTTCCTCTCCTCCTTAAGGTCTACCAAAATATTCTGTTATTTGAGAACAATGGCAAGGAAAAATACCTGTTTCTCACAGTACAGATTTAGTAGTGGGGCTGTGTTTAGGAAATACTTCATGAGTGAGAATGTGTATTTGGAGTTGGACACCAATAAGTGCCTTCTGTGGTCACCATAAAAATCTGGCTAAGTTATAAACCCTTTAAAATTATAGATTACTTGTTGTGTAGTGTTTTGGAGAACGCAGCTTCTGAAATACACATATTCTTAATGTAGAACATGCTTGTCTGAAGAAAACGTTTTGCTGCTGTTGTAATAAAGGGCTGTACCAAGGTTAGACAGTAGCACTGAAATCAAGTTGTTTCTTTCTATGTTGTTAAACTGAGCTGCAGTTCTGTGTTCATTTATGGAAGCCAGTGTTAGGATTAAGAAGTTCTGGCCATATGCACACTACCACCATCCAATTCTTTTCACCGTCCTGCTATTTACTTATTGTATGTGAGCTGAGTACAAAAAAAGCTGCTTGTTTTTTTTTTTTTTCCCAATCTTTTCAAGTGCTAGTTTGCAGACAGATTTGTCTCCTGAGCGAGTTTGCTGCATAATTTCCCAAGTGAGGGACATGCTTTGCAGTCATTCTTACTCTAGATTGACTTAAACTGCCACAGAAGAAAATTAGGTTAAACAGGGAACAAGAGTTTAAGGATTTACTGATAGCTTGACTTTTAAATAAAGCATGAGTTTATTGGTCATTGTTGTTTTTACATGTGCTAGTTGGTATGACCGGTTGCTGAAATACAGCAGTTAGACAATTGTTAATGTTGTTGTTAGCTCTCAGTGTCTTCTCATTTATGAATCTGAAAACTTTGAGCATGTCTTTTGTAATAAACTTCTCTTTGCTGTATTGAGCTTCATCAGAGTAAGGCAGAAGCCTGTCTTTCACAATTTTGTAGTAGTAGCAGTGATGAACTGCATCAGTAGGATTGTGGTTATACATGTAACAGCACTATTCTTTCATCTGTGCTGTGCTGTCTGTGCCTGGATTCATAACTTTTTGTTGTGCTGGCCCAGACAGTGAACTGAAATCAACGAGTTCTTCTGGCCGTGTTATGCCATTTATTGTCTACCTCATTCAGTTCCTGTTGCAGTGAACAGCTGCTAGTTAAAGCATGCATACCGGAGGATTGTGCAGGGCCAGAACGAACACTAAGTGGGGATTTGGTCGTTTAAACTGCCACTGCTGCTAACACAAGGTCTATTTAAACAGCTTTCTAAGGAGTCCTGGTTATCTCGAATTCTCTGCATCTTTGAGAAATATTTTCATCTCTTCCAGTAAGCCACAATTTAGAACTCAGTCATATAAAAAGGTTGGGCAATCCTTTTCATGTTTGGGGCAATTGTCACTAAAACGTGAGGTTTAACATTTAATTTCAGATAACTTCAGTCATACAGTTGAAGCAGCTGAAGGTAAGCCTGGGTGATCTGAATAGTTCCTCACTATGTTCAGACACCTTCTATATGCAGTTATTGTAGCACATGCAACCTTATAGCTTTGTAATGTCATTTGAAGAGATGAGGCTTGCTGGTTGTCTTCAAGAAATTCTGGTAATGATGGTGGTCTCTTGGTCCCCAGAATGTAAAACCACTGAGCTGTGGTGCTTAGGACTGAAGTGCTTAGTGAGAAGCTTTGTCATTAAAAAATGAGAATTAGCATTTGAACTCTTGCTCTGGGCAAGTGGTATTGATTTGTGGGCTTACAGTGTTTTCCAGTAAGAGTGTATGTACTTTGTAAGCCTTTTCCTTCGCGCAGACTGACAACAAAATTTTCTGTATGAAGTCATTTTTACTAACAGAATACAATTTAACTTGGTAATACTGCAGTATTTTTTTCTTGTTTGCATTTTATATGTTATCTTGGATTAATCAGTAGGCTGATTTCTTTTTTTTTCTACGTAGGTTTTTTTACTGTTGTCTGAATGGCACATGATACAGGGGAACTTTTACACTTACTGTTGTGTCTGGATAGTTGGTTTAACTGTGAGGTAGCTTCAATTTTAACTGTTAAATGCACAACAGAATTTAGTACTCTAATTTCAGAGATTTGTATAGATCTTTGCAGTTTCTTACTTGGTTTAATTTTTCACATGTCTGTGGCAGGAAAACAATAACTCAAGGCATTTTCACTGAAAAAAATTTAAAATGCATGCTTTAGGAAAAAAAATATCGCTCAGAAACTTGGTACTTTGAAGTTTGATTCAAGAAGTCATTGAAACACATTAAAATATACCGATCTTTAATTTTAGCAGAGGTTTATATTTCACAGAATGAATTACTCATTGTGGAACTTCTGTGGTCCATTTTACTCAAGAAATTAAACTGACAATAAATGTACCTTTTTCTTTTTTTTTTTTTCCGCCCTCCTCCCAGCCTTTGTGAGCCAAAGAAAGATTTAATTGCCCGGGTAGTGAAAATAATTGGGAAGAGGAAAGCTATTGAACTGCTTATGGAAACATCTGAAGTGGAACAAAATGGTGGACTGTTCATAGTGGTAAGAAATGTGAGGTGTTTTGGGTTTGTGGGTGAGGAGACACACAACTTGTAGAATATTTATGTAGGGCCATTGCACAGCTTTCTCATTGGCCAGGTTCTCACACAGTTTCATGGCCTTCTCTTGCAATGAAACTCTTGACAATTAAGCTTGACAATTAAGGTAATCTAATCGTCCAGCAGGATCTGAGTGAACAATAACATGAATGAACCTGGGAATTACCCAATTCTTTGTACTGAGGTTAGTAACTGATTTACAGTTACAACATTGTATTTGTTACCCTGCCTCCCCTTGGAATCTTTCAGCAGAGAACTAAGTGGGATGGGTTCTGAAGCTTGAATAAAAACCTGTGACATTAGGAATGTGAAGCTTCTGGCACATTTCAAGAAGTCAGATAGGTCGGTGCTGCCAAACATACATCTAGTGGGTTAGCGTGCCATCAGAGTTCACCGTACTCAGCAGTGAGCATTTCTAATGCCATGTTCTAAGAGTAGCTTTCAGAAGGGAATGTCAGCTTTAGTAGAGAACCTTTGGCTTGTGTATAAGTAGAGCAAAAATGAGTACTGAGTTCTGTTAAAAATTGTGGTAAAAATATCTGGAATTTCTCACTATGTTGGGGTGTTTTTATTATTAAATAATGAGCCCCACTGCAAAAGTTCAGAAGAAAAAAAGAGGGAACTCATGAGCGCTTTCAGGCATTTGTTTATAATTTGTCTTTTAAGTTCCAGCACTAGAAGCAGATGAGGAAAGGGGATGATTAAAAACACACACACACAAAAAAAAACCCACCCCAAGAAGACAACAACTTTACAGCTACCAGGTTGTCTTAGAAGCAGTTTATTGTCTTGAAATATTACAGTACTTACTGACAAGTGCTAACCAAGGAGATGAAAGGACACCAATCCTGGTGGCATAGGTTCCTTTGGCTGCAGATCGGAGCACACTATTTGAAAGGCAGATCATACTGGTTTTTCTTTGTTGGGAATTTGTGCTGGTAGCAAATGCTATATACTTTTATCATCCTGCTTCAAGGACATTAAAAATTACCTTCTCTGTTCTTGGAACTTTTGGATTTTGTTTTACTTTGTTATTTTGCAGAAAGTATCATGTTTAGTACAATATCAGAGCACTGGAGTAACAGTTCAACTTCGTAGACTGCCAAGGGCAGTTGGGTAGTAGTATTATAATTAGTGCTTAGAATTTACAAAGGTTTCAGAGTGGAGTCCGTTCATGCTTCAGTGTGGTATGGCATATTGCACCGCTGCTGTTTCAGTAAAAACTGTTGAAGCATGGAACTAATGTGTTATGGGGAGAAACTACAAAGTACGTGTTGCATTTCCTACCTAGGCAGAAATACAAAATCCTGGAGATATGCAGGTAAGTTGTAGAATTGCAGAGTACAATAAAAAAAAAGTTATCTATAATTTTATTAAATTCATTTTTTGATGTTTTACTGGTCTTAGGTGTCATGAATGTTGTGAATATTCAACCTAGCATATACATTTATGTAGATCCTTGTGATAATAGTTAGAATACTATTCACATTTTGTTTTTTTCACTACTAAAATCAGTTTTAGTATGTAGCTGAACAGTTTGGTATGTTCTAGAGCAATTTTTTTGCAACCTTGTAATTTACCTACCCAAATGTACTAACCTGTTTTTTGAACTTTTTATGACTAGTTCAGTCAGAAATGTAAAACCTCACCCAGTACAACACTTTTTATTATTCTGTCTCAACACAAAGAATCGTCTTAGATGCTGTATTTATATCAACACTTACATACTTAGCTTGCTATTATGTATTTGTTCTTTCCCTATTAAGAATGGCACTCGGAGGAGAACACCAGGGGGCGTTTATTTAAACCTGCTGAAGAACACACCTAGTATCAAAGAAGAGCAAATCAAGGTAAAATTGTCAACAAGAGTGCAAATGATGGTCCAAAGGATTTAATTTTTTTCTTACAAGAAATGTTGATTTAATCTCTTTCAAATTCTACTGCAACTAACTCTATATTGCAAAGAAACCAGCTTTTCATATTCAGAATTTATGGGGAATGCAGGGAGGCTGGGAAGATGAATCACCATTTACACTAGGTAGTGAGAACACCTCTTACATGTTATCAGTCACAAAAACCTGTTGAGGATGTTGAGAGTGTAGAATCTGAAGAGATGAACATTGGATTTTTCTTCAGTTTGTGTATACCTCACAGCAATGATATCTGCAGTTGTATTTCTGCTTTTGGAGCTCTCTGTCACTGTGCATGAACTGAACAGAGTTCTCATAACAGAATACTTTCCTATATAGCTCCAACTGTTATGCCAGGCGGTATTTCCCATTAAGTCGGATATTGGTCTGATCTTAGTCTGAATTGCTCACTGGCATCATTTCTGTTCTCACCAAATCAGCTTGGTCAGCTTGTAAATATTATTGCCTTTCTTTTTAAGGTATGAAGATGGTATTTTTTTCATTCACTTTAAACAGCTTGGCTTGGTTTGGGGGATTTTTGAAGGTTTGGTTGGTTGATCTTTTTTTTTTGTTTGTTTTTTTTTTTCCTAAATTCATTGAAGCTTTCGATAAAAGAAATACTTATTTTGCTGCTACAGCTCACTCTGCAAACTATCCTAACCTTTTGTACTGGGAATTGAGAAACAAATAAATGTAAACTGTGATTGTCATTTTAGGTTTAAAAAAAAAAAAAAAAATTTAAAAAACCCCCAAAGCAAACAAGCAAACAAAAAAACCTTTCATAGCTTAAAGCTGCAAAAAGTTGCAAATTTGATTAAAAAAAAAAATATTGCTCTCCTAACACCTCTTCCATACCCTTGCACTTTTGTGTCTCATTCTTCATTTGGTGATTCTGGTAAGTGTTTAATGAGACAGCAGTTTTCACTAAATGAGCTTCACTGATGGTATGGGACTTCATTTGTTATACAAAACTGTGGTAAAAATGTGTTATCCTGTCATCATGGAGGTTGTCATGTACACCAGCATCACAGATTTGTGCATCCTTTGCACTTGGCTTGCAGCTTTTAGGGAGAACAAAATAACCAGAGAAAGAGGGGTCTGTAGCAGCATTTAGTTTTGCTACATTCCTTCAAATATAGAGGAAACTTGTAACAGTCATATTTTGCAGTAGAGAAGATGTTAATGAAGTTCACAACTTCTTGACAGTACAGATAATGAGATATGAACTCAAATATCAGTTGTGGAGGAAATTTTTTTCAAGCTGTGATAAAACATTTGGTTGCATTTCCTCAATAGGTCCCTCCGCGTCCAGTGTGACCCTCTGGTCAACCACCCTTTCCTCCCAGTTTTGTATCACCAGGATACTTGAAGTGAAAACTTAGTGATGCTTATTTGCATATACTGTGGGATTGCTGGGAATTTATGTAATAAAATAATTTATCATAGAATACCAGGTTGGAAGGGACCCCAGTGATCATTAGTCTAACCTTTCTTAGCAAAAGCACGATCTAGACAAGATGTTCCAGCACCCTGTCCAGCTGAATCTGAAAAGTGTCCAACATTAGAGAATCAACAACTTCCCTGGGAAGGTGATTCCAGTGGCTGATAGTTCTCACAGTGAAGAATTTCCCTCTTGTGTCCAGTTGGAATCTCCTCTTTTTTCTTTTTTCTTTTTTTTTTTTTTTTGTGTACCCTTCTTTTTTCCTTGTAAAAAGGGAATCTCCATCTTCTTTGTAGCCACTCTTTAAATACTGGAACGTGATGATAAGGTCTTCCCTGAGCCGTCTTTTCTCTGTGCTTAACAAACCCTATTCTCTGAGGCTTCCTTCACAAGGCAAGCTTCCCAGTCCTTTTATTGTCTTGGGGGCATTTTCCTTAAGTGCAGTCTATCCTCATGTTTCTATTACCAATAATGTTAGTTAAATATTACTGAACAGTATTTGTAATTTTTTTTAACTACTTTATTTTTCTTCGGTAAACACTAGTAAACTGAATATGCCCAAATTTGTTTTGCTCTCTTTCAAGGAAATATTCTACCTGGAGAACCAAAAGGAGTATGAAAACAAAAAAGCTGCTAAGAAGAGGAGAATACAAGTTCTAGGAAAGAAGATGAAAAAAGCCATAAGAGGGCTCAACCTGCAAGAATATGATGACGCATCTCGTGAGACTTTCGCTAGCGATACGACCGAAGCTCTGGCTTCCCTGGATGATCTACAGGAGGGGCATCACGAAGCAAAGATGGACCCTGAAGATATTATTGAAATTGATAATGCTCATGATTTGGAGATCTTCTAGTTACTAATGTTCTTGATAACAAAGTCTCTGTAAAACATGTTAAATTAGCTCATTTATAATCCCATGATTTCTTTTCATAACCTGCAAAAACATACGAAATATTAGGTGCTGAACAACATCTAATAATTCTTAGCTGAATTCTACAGCATGGAAGATTCAAATTGTCCTATTATTTGTTTGCTGAGTCCTCAAAATGATTTCAAAATTTTTCTAGGTAACAGCTCTGCATCACCATGTTTCTTCCTTAGGAAATTCTTGGTCACATGTTAGCTATGTTTTAGATTAAAATCAGAGTTAAAGCTATGCTTTAATCAGATACATCAATTTTAATTTGTTGACACTGTCAAAGTCATGAAGTGAGCAATGCTCCTTGATACAGTTGAACAGGAAAATCCAGTATAAAGTTAGTCTTGATAGAAAAGATCTTGTGTGCCTATATGCAGTATGTTGGGAAGAATACCAGAGTTTATAGAATTAAAGACCTGGAAAAACAGATTGTTTCTTAAAAGTCACTGACCATTAAAATTGTTTGTTTCACAAACCAATCTTGTAAATAAGCACTGTTGAGCAGTATATGTTTGAAATTTCTGCAGCGGTTTAATCCTTTTTATTATAATAGTAGCTTGAGCTTTCTACTTGTTCTGTCTAGACTTTTTCCATGACTAGACACACACACATCTTCAATCTTTTTGTTTGAAAACAAATACAACTGGATGCTTTCTGAGCAGTGAGGTTTTACTAAGCTGTGTTTCCCTCAATGGTCTGTAGACTCCACATGCAAGTATAAACCTATTAACTTGCAGTTCTTGTTTCCATGCTTCTCACTTGAGCAGTACAATATTGTGCATCTTGCAGAAGTTCTCAAGTTTTTAGTAGCAGATGATGAGTTGTTTGTTTTGGTTTTTTTTTTTTACCTTGATGCAGAAGATTGGTTTCTAAGTTTGATTGAAGACAACTCCTGTGTTGAATGTCATTTTGAATATAGCTGAAAAACAAGTGCAACACTGATACGTGTGGTATCTAAAACTCTCACTAATAAGTTGTGCTCTCTCTGATTAGACACTTTTCCAGCATAAAATATTTCTGAAGTATGACTGAATTCACTTTAAAACCTGTCAACAAACATCTGTATGTTAATTTTGTTAACCAGGAGTCCTTGGACTTTAGAAGCAAACCGTATCACTGAAACACATAGTGAAGTTATAATGAACAATTCATTACTGTCAAGGACTCTTAATCATATAGCACATTCCATTCTATGCTTCACTGAATTTAATTAAATATTGATTAAAGAATATTGACTTTTCTGTGTTTTTATGTTCACATGTGAGAGCTCCCTGGTGTTAGGAAGTTGCTCACCAGACGTGAAGCATGGCTTTGTTAGTAGTAGTTGCTGAAATAACAGAAGGTTTTGATTTGTTCATTAACTTCCCTAACAAAGCTGCGATGGGCAGTGCTGGAGCTGAGGAGCCCAGGGCTTTGGAGCCTGGTGTTGCAGTCACCAGAGTTTCCAAAGAGACTGATGGAGATGTGCTGGAGTGAGAGGGAACAGGCTGGTACATTCCTGTGTATTGCTACAGATCTGGCTCTTCGCATCTGGCACAGGTGCTGGAAGGTGTTGAGAGGAATTCAGGTATGGTTGTTTTCATCTTCATCATCAAGCAGCTTTTCATTCCTTTTTTTTTTTTCTTTTTTTTTTTTTTTTTTACTCCTGAAAAAGTACTGCAAGAGTATGAAGCATGGGTAAAGCTGGAGGTTTTCTCCCCCATGTCCACTGTGTTTAGTCTGTCCTGATCTGATGTTTTCAGAGATGTCAGCTCTGTGGTTTTTGTCAGTTGAGTGTGACTTGTGCCTAAACTGGATTGTGTGGGGTGTGTTTTGTCATCTAGTAGCTGATGTTTTATAGACAAAAAAATGCACATATAAGGATGCTTTGTGTTACCAAGTTTCTTTGAGCAGATGTGGTTGAGACAACATCTGTACTGCAAATGTAGACTCTTGAGATAAACACCCTCAATCCCGTATGCTGTGGCAGCCTAATATGCTGTCTCTGTCTTGCCTGCAATGGACTGGGAAAGAGGGAAATGTGCTCTGGTTTGAAAACACAAAACTTGTTTGTAACCAAAGATTTTCGTCTTTATATCATAAGTTCAAATGAGAAAACAATGTTTTTTGGTATCATATGTAAAATTAGTTAATGATTCAATTTCTCTTCCCCTTCTGAGTAGATTGTCTCATTAAAATGTATTTATGTTGTCCAGACCCATGAGCTGCTATTTGCCAAAATTTTCAGGCAAGCATGGAAAGACCCAGTGCTGGCTATGATGCCTTGAAAAGAAGGTATGAAGAATAATTTGAATTTAAAGATGGTGTTACTGAGATCAGCAAGTGTTTTTGTACTGTGTACGAAAACTTAATGGGACTTAAAAGTTGTCCCATATGACTATGGTTCTGATGGGTATCTGCAACATCTTTTACTGAATTTAGTTCCAGACATCAGGCAAGATGGCAATGCTTTTGCCATTCCTCTTCATACTGGTAGCAGAACAATTCATCCTGAAGCTTATTACTGTTTAAACCATGTCTAAATCTTATTCTGTTGGGGTTTGAGTTGGAGTTTTTTTAATCATAAAAAAAGGCCAGTGTGACTGACTCCTTTGCTATGTTATGAGAAATGGCTAGAGACATTAGGGGTTACATTTACTAAGGACTGTGGTTTCTGAAAGACCTGCCAGGAGAGTAGAGGATGGGGAAAACAGGAATAACAGGGTATAATGGTTATAGGAAAAGTGAGATAAGTACTTCAATTACGACAACTGCTGTTATGGAGAAGTTGAATTCTTTGTGTTTTGTTAGAGTAAAGGTGTGGAGGGGTAGACTGAGTAATAATGAGTTTTCAAAAGGCTTCTTTTTTTGATCTGTCATAAAACCACAACCCTCATTAGTTATGTCCTTAACTTACACCATCCTCTTCTGCTGTAGTTTTGACACCAGGGAGTCTGCCCGAGGCACTTTTTTAAAGCATAGTTTATTTCAGTGTACAGAGGAGAATTGTATTCGTGGCTCCAGTCAACATGGACTTACTTGGTACCCCACTCCTGTTCCTAAATCCTACTGGTCAGCAGCACATCAGAGTTCAAGACTATTTCTGAACTGTTGTGGTACTTAGTGGTTCTGGGAACATGCAGTCTTGGAGCCTTTGCATCATAGTTAAGGGATTCAAGAACCTGGCAGAAGCAATGGCAGTGGTTTCCTAGGACACCACCTCTGGGACTCAGCAGGCAGCTAAAGAACATGTTGCACAGCAGCAAAACCTTTGCAGAATCTGTGGCCCCTTGATAGTTGGGCCTGCTGCATCCTGTCTGTGACATGCCAGGCCCTAGGAAGTTCTTGCAGAACAAAACTTCCCAATGTTTAGAAATGACACATTTGAAGCTTTCTTGTGTCCTTATCCACTATACTGATAGATGCTACTGTTTCACATCTATAGAAGGAGGAAGGAGCACTCAACTGTGATGGATTTAACCAAACACATTTCTAAAATCACAGACATCCAGGCCTAAATACTGGCAAAAATGAGAAATGCATATCTAAAGTTATACAGGAGGCTCTAGACATAAGTTAGCTATTCTAGATGCTACCTTTTACATTTTTGTGGGTTGGTTGGTTTGTTGCTTGTTTTCATTGAGCAGAGAGATTATTTTTTTCAGTTATTAAAAAAAGGCAAAACATTTTTATACCATTAAATAAACAGAAGAATCTTTCTTATCTTGAAAACTTTTCACTGGATACTTTTTTCCCGTGAAAGCTCATCTGTCATTCAGGATATTAGCATTCCTGTTTGAAACATCCTCCCTTTGAAAGGTGTTCTCATGTTTTCCCAGAAGTTGCATTTTTTTTCATTTGCCCCCACAAGTCTTTCATTTGCTCTGTCAGTTATTTTTCAAATTATAGTACAGCTACTTAAAGTAGTTTTACAGTTGCTGTTTACTTACTGCTGACAAGTTTTGTATTGACAACATTCAACCACTGGAATGTCTTCAGCATAGAGAACTTGCTGAAATATATATACTGGGGCTCTGGAAGACACTTCATTCTTGGAGCACTCGGGAAAGAAAAATGAAAGAAAAAGCCTCCAAGGAAAAACATTAATGCCTTGGTTAATATTAATTCTGGTGTCCTCATGCATTCCCATGTTTCCAGATACTGGGGAAATGTGATTGCTTTTGCATGCAAAGAAATTATTACCTGCTTTTTCCTTTTATAAACAAGCTGATATGGTATGGTATGTAACTTTTAAATGACATACAAAATTGCACCAAACTGTTAAGTAGGCTTTTTGCTCTATAGAGAAAAGAAAAAACAAAAAACTCAGAACCCAAAATATGTTGGACTCACTCAAGATTTTCGCAGAAAAGCAGAATGTCCATGTAGATGTACAGGAGAGATGTAACAGCCCAATCCTATGTTGGCTCCTTCTGATAAAGTTCTGATAGCTTGCTTTTCTTCTTCCTGCAACTGTTTGAAGTGGCCCTGCTCTTTTTTTTTTTTCCTTGCCTTTCTGGAGATACTATTGTGACCCACCTCACCTTTTTACTTCTTTTTTTTTTTTTTAACTTGTTTTAAGTAGTATTCCTATTTCTCTGCCTAACTGATGCATAAATAAAACACTCAAATCCTCTGTAGGAGAGATTATTCCCAAGCCTACTACAGTGAATTAAGATCTTCTGAAGGAAAAATTTCTTATCTGGAGTCTCTGATGCCTCTTAAAAGAAGACAAATGCAGAAAGACACTCATGGGCCATCAGGTAAATAGTGCTGAATATCTAAGTGAAGAATAAGCTGAAGTAAATGCAGGTATAACATAAATAAATTCCAGAAATAACAGCAGTTGGTTCCAGCCCTTCAAATGCCTTCTGTGTAGAGCTGTCAGCTCAAATGAGATGTATACATCTAAGAAGAGGTAGCTATCATTCAGTTTTGTCTTGTGACTTTCTTTCCACTCCAATTATGGTATGTAAATAAAAAATCGTCAAGCTGGAAGGTGGCAAGTGAGATATCTAAAGAGAAATGTCTTAAATTTTGCAAGGATTTGAGAATTTGTAAATTTTCCAGGAAGTGTTTTTAAATATCCTGGATACCTGTTTGGTTTTGCAGTACATAGAATCATAGAATAGTTAGGTTTGGAAAGGATCCTAAGACCATCTAGTTCCAACCCCCCTGCCAGGGGCAGGGACACCTCACACTAGACTATGTTGCCCAAGACTGTCCAACCTGGCCTTGAACAGTGCCAGGAGTGTGGCATTTAACACTTCTTTGGGCAGCCCATTCCAGTGTGCCACCACCCCCACAGTAAAGAACTTCCTCCTGTTTAAGTTTTAACCTATTACTCCTTGTCTTATCACTGCAGTCCCTGATGAAGAGTCCCTCTCCAGCATCCTTGTAGACCTCCTTCAGATACTGGGAGGCTGCTATGTTACAAGTTTGTCTATTGTAATATTTTTCTAGACACTCTGTTATTGTCTTAGCATATTTAAAATATGATATGCTAAAGCTTAATTTTAGCTTACTTTCTTGAAAAGTGTGTTTTATTCCAAATTACTACTTCATATTCTGTTTTGTAGCCAATCAAGTCTATTAAAATTCAGTGGACAGAGGCTGGCTTCAAATCCACATGTACTTACTAACAGAAATGCAAAATTGCCACAGCAGCAAAGGAGAAAGGCTTGTAAGATTCCTACATCATTACTATCCATTTTATTTTGTGTACATAGAAATACTGATCTCCAAATAGGGTAATTTTTTTAATTAAATGGTCTAAAATCTAAAAAAGCTGCATTTATGTTTACTTAGGAAAATATGTCTACTCTACCCTGTGCCTTGGTTCTTTTCTCCCTGCAGAACTTTCATAATGGATAAAAATACATGGTTAATACAACCTTCTTTTCTACAGAAGTTAATAACAAGGAGCTAATGCATCATTGCTATTAATGCTAAGTTAGTCTATTACACTGCTCTGAAAACGTGGCATTTTCTCTTATTCTGTTTCTATTTGGTTATAATTTTTTATGCATTTCTCTGAGGCCTTTTCTCAGAAATTTGCTCTATTTCTTACATTATCTAGATTTTATGCAGTGAAAGTAATTCAAGATTAGTTTCTAAGCAAGAATATCTACAGAACCTCTCAAAAGACTGATGCTTTGGTCAAATCATTTCTTGATTTTAACAAAATCTGTGGAGGTAAACTACACCTTTAATGTGATTAGGATATTATTTTGCAGTGAATTATTGATTG